GATTTCACACACCTCCTTAATCTGCCCTCGACCTACCGTCAGGACGTCCCACACAGAGCACAAGCAGCCTCACAGAAACACTGTTCTCTCTCCTCCTTGAGGCAGCAGTCTGGCTCTCTTCCCAGTTTGAATGCCAACTTCCTGAACTAAACCCCTACACAGCTGCAGGAAAATCTGCACATTTTTTTACATGTATATTTTCCATGGTCTGACAGATTTCATCTCCAAATATTGAGATCACAGCCTGCCACACCCCACAAAGAAAAGAGTGTGATTTGTCCCCACCTGTAAGCAGTCTGGTTGGATCTCTCCTCCGTCTCTGGTGGTGCAGTAGTACAGTCTGTCTCTCTGAGCCTTTTAATTCTCAGACCGGGAGAGCGAGTGGAGCTGGAAGACCATCAGGACTGAGAGCGATACAAGAACCCCCACTGTCAGGAGTGTAAACCCCTCTAGTGACCCTACTGTAGACCCGCTCACCTCCCACACTGACGATAGTGTTTCCCTGAAGGTCCCTCACTCTGTAGCTCCCCTGATCAGACGCCCTCAGGTCCTTGCAGACGCATACAGGCGAAAAATAAAACCGTTCGCTTCCATACGAAAGACCTCCGTCTTCATCTAAATCGTTCATCAGCGCAAATAAAAGCCGCTATAATTGGATTCGCGTTCAGATCACATTCAAACCCGCAACCGCTGCTCTCGTTTGTTCAACGACTAATTACCCTTGAGTATCGCGCTTGTACGCTCATCTGGTATACAAAAAAGCCCCTTTTAAAACTTAAAAACCAAGAACTTCCCGTTATACATAAACACGACACAAAGTAATTCTATAATAACGTGCTTTACAGGTTCATTTACGGTTTAAATTAATTGAAATGCTCCGACTCAGAGCGTCTTGTAGTTCGTGCTAATTAAAACACCAATGCTGAGCCCTTTGTGTATTAAGCACAAGTTCAGCTGGTCTCCAACTTCACACAAATTAAAAACACACTTAGATAAAGTGCAACACGTCGCCCCTAAATGTGCAGACACAAATGTATATATTGTACATACAACCGAAGAAAAAAAACGTTTGCTTACCTATGAAGAATCTCCGTATGAATCTTCATCGTTTATCAGTGCAAATAAAACCCGCTTCAATAGGATTCACGTTCAAATTCAAACTCGCATCTGCTGCTCTCGTTTGTGTCGGGACAAATTGGCGTCGAGTATGGCGTTAGTAATCTCGTACACTCATCTGGTATAATTTAGCATGATTGACCTTCTTAAATTAAAACATCCCGTTATACACAAACACGACACAAAGTAATAGTTCAATATTAACGTGACCAACATATTCATTTACGGGTTAAATTAATTGAAATGCTCCGACTCAGAGCGTCTTGTAGTTCGTGCTAATTAAGACAGCAATGCTGAGCCCTTTTGTTTATTAAACACAAGTTCAGCTGGTCTCCAACTTGACTCCGCACGGTTTTTCGTAGCATTGAGCTCAGAGCTGTAGCTCTTCTCCAGACAGCAGCGTGCTCTGAGAGCTCATTAGAACTGACCCACAGCGGTCAGTATGAAGTTTGCGCTGAACACTGTACATCACCCACACGCGGTACCGCTGCTTCCGAGCCCAGTCAGCTCTGCTGT